TTTTACAATTTTTTTTTTTTTTTTTTTTGGTTTTTTGTCTTTTTCCGTGTCCGGCAACGGATCGCAACCCTCAGTGTTGCCCCCATACCGGACCGGGGACCGGCAACGGGATTGCAACCCTCGGTGTTGCTCCCACGCCTCACTCAGCCAGTGAGCGGGAACCGGTCTGTATGTGGGATCCGAACCCTCGGGCGGGAGCGCCGCCGCGCTTCCCAAGCGACGCACTATCCAGTGCGCCACCGGGCCGGCCCAGAATTTACAATTTAAATCCTCTGATTTTCATAAATGAGCAGTTTATATAACCTGAACTAATATACAAAAAACCACCCTGGCTAGGCATCCCAGACTCTTTTCTCTTGCCAGTATAGATTATACTGTTACAGCTTAACCTTTCCTCATCTTTTCCCTGTCCAGGAATATTCTGCCTAATCTTACTCTATAAGTACTAGATGGGGAAAAGCAAGAAGGAAATTGAAAGAGGAGGAGGTTAAGGCTAAGGATATGACTGCAGACAATAAAGGTGTAGAATGGAACAACTTTTCTGCCATTGACGTAGGATATCCAACCAAACTCCTCCTTTCAGCATGGTGAGGGGAATCAGAAAGGGTAGTTGAAGGAAGTGGGGACCAAAAAGAAAGAAAAGGGAAAATGAGAGAAGGGATATAAGGGGAGGATAGACAAGAGAAAAAGAAGAGAAGCAAGAAGAAAAAGGTAAGGCCCCCCGCCCCCCAAGCTAATCCTCACATCCTTCTTACTACCTTCAGAACTCCTTTTCAAAGTTCTACCCTCCTCTAGGGTCCGTCCTTCCAAATCATCCCTGCTCAAGGAGTTGCTACCAGTTTTAGGAGCTGGATGAATTCCTACGCCTTCATCCCCACAGCTGTTTGGCAGGGAAGAACACAGGTACAAAAGAATCTGTATTAGATTGCAGGTCTACAACAAGAGGGGCTGAGTTATTGCTGTTCTAGGAAGAAACACTCAATTCATTTTCCCATTAGAATTATTACATATAACTGTTAGATCTGAGTATTGTTCATCCTATAATTTAGGGCTCTTAGGAGTTAAATAAAATTAGAGGGCTAGTCTGAGAACAAAAATAATACTATATATAACACTGTTATAGGAAAATGAGCTATAATTCCCATCATCATATTACAAATAATTTTTTAGAAGACAATGTGTTTCATAAATGGGATGCCAATTCAACACTGTAGCTTTCTGAAATCAAAATAAACATTAAATACATGACAATTTTAAAAACAAATGCATACACATAAACACACAAGCACGCTTGTATCACTAAATGTTGTAATGCATTGGAAAAGACAGAAAGGTTGATTATGGCTATATTAAGAAGACCTTAAATAAATATGGGAAAAATGAATTAGATTTTTGCTCTAATTAAGCAGAAAAGAATGAAAGGATTCTGAAGAGAATGCCTTGACCAAGCAGTTAGTGTATAAACAGAGGGGATAGGTGGAACTCTAAAGGCAATGAGAGCAGTTAGAGTCTAATGCAATATCCTGGCTGAAAAGTAATTACAGGCTATGAATAATCCCACAGACTTTTTTTTAAAAAAGAAAAAAAAAAACCCCTCTTAAATAAGCTGATCCGTACATTCAAATGAGATTTAGTAATTGCCAAAGGAAATAAGAGGCTATGAATAATCCCACAGACTTTTTTTTAAAAAAGAAAAAAAAAAAACCCTCTTAAATAAGCTGATCCGTACATTCAAATGAGATTTAGTAATTGCCAAAGGAAATAAGAGTTGCTTTTTAAAGTGTTATTAGACCATATTTTACCTGCACATCTGTCTGTGTCATCTGCTCAGCTAACTGTAAACAAGAATGGAAGGAGTAAAGAATGTCTTCACACAAGCTAGTAATTATATCTTTGTGTTTCAACTGGCTCTTTATAACTGACTGGTGCTTGAGGCTCTGCCTAAATGAACAAAAAGAAAATACAATCACCACAAGTACACATCACGTAACTCAGGACCCTAAAATATCTACTTTACAGAACATTTAAAAAAATCATAATGTGTCACATACACTAGACATGGTATAACTAAGATGTGCCAAATTTACTTCTGAAGCAGTTATGTTTGTCTAAGTAAGTTGCTAATTTTTCATTCCATGTAAAATATGAATTGAACTTTACTATGTGCCAGGCACTCTGCTAGGTCTAGCATAAAGATAAAGAGGTTTCTATGTGCATGGAACCTGTGGTCTACCATGAGAGAACATGAAATAATTCTGAGAATAATTAATGAATAGTTAATTAAGGTTGTGATAAATGCTAAAATGGAAAAGTCTAAGGTGCTACAGTAGAGAGACCTAATCTAACTTATTCTTAGGGTGAGAATATCAAAGAATGCTGTCATGAAGATATAACACTTAAGCTGAGAACTGAAAGATAAGGAGTTAGCAAGGTGCAGAATAGGGAACAGAACAGAGCATCCTAGACAGAGGGAAAAGCTTTGAAAAGGCTCCAGGACAAGGAGAATTTGTATGTTTGAGGAACTAAGAGCAGGGAGACAGCAGTGTGAGATGGGTTGGTAAAGGAAGGTCCAGAGAGGATCAGGTTGTTAGTCTTAGTAAAATGAGATAGACTTTAAGCAGTAGAGTAATACGATCTGATTTACTTTTACAAAAGATTATTCTGAATGCTGGGTAGAAAATGAATTGGAAGGTGGCAAGAATGGAAGATATCTGATGATGACAATGGTGATGTGGCTACTTCATTGAGAACACAGTTCTAAGCATTTCACAGTGATTAACTCAATTTTCATGATAACCTTATCAAAAAGGTGCTATTATTATTACTTCCATTTTCAGATGAGTAAACTAGGGTTCAAAGAAATTAACCAGCTGGCTGGTTAGCTCAGTTGGTTAGAGCATGGTGCTGATAACACCAAGGTATGGGGTTCAATCCCTGTTCGGCCAGCAAAAAGAAAAAAAGAAAAAGAGAAAGAAAAAGAAATTAACCAAATTTCCCAAGGGCTCAGAAGGAGTAAGTGATCTCAGAATGGATTCAAGCACATGCAGTACAGCTCAGAGGTGACACTTTTAAGCACTGCAGAGAAAGAAAAAGAAATTAACCAAATTTCCCAAGGGCTCAGAAGGAGTAAGCGATCTCAGAATGGATTCAAGCACATGCAGTACAGCTCAGAGGTGACACTTTTAAGCACTGCACTATTACTTGTTGACTACTTAATGTCCTAATGGTGCAAGAAAAGCACCTAAGACCTGAAAGTACTACATTGACCTTTAATGTTTTAGGCATGTGTATAAAGTAGAGATTCTTAACCATTTTTACATGAGAACTATATTTGTTCCCACTCCTAAGATGCTGATAAATGCTATGAGCACTCTCCGTAATAATCATTCACAATGCTCCAGTTTCAGAAGATTAAAATTGCTTTATAAATGGAATCACACTTGAATAACTTTAAAGTGCATAATGAAGGGATAATATTCAGCTCTAATTAGTTACTAATTTGTCTAAGCCTAGTAATAGGATAATTGATAGTTGGTTAAACAATATGAGCAGGCAAGTGGTTAAGGTCTAGTCTGGCCCATGGCCCATTATTTCAGAAGAACTAGCTAACTAGAACTTTTAAAAAAAATCTTAGAGGCAGCAGGGCAAAGAAGTCCAATTTGGTTTGAGCCACATGTAGACTCTCTGGATTATAAGACAGCAGTGGCAGTAAATATTATATACACCTCCACAAAATGTTTCAAATGCAATCTAAGAAAACTTATGAATAATTAAGATTTGGGATATGGAAAATATATTATAAAAAGTAAAAACAAACAAACTTACTTAATTATAAATTTCCAAGTATTGGCATGAAATGCATGGTCCATACTGGAAATAACAGAGCAGATATCCAATAATGAGTGAATAACTACAAAGAAAAATAATAGAACTCTTAGGATATTCAAATATCATATGGGTGAGTTTCTTCTATATTTAAGAGTATCGGGGAGGGGTAAAGATGGTGGAGTAGTCGGTTCCTGGTGTCACTCTCTCCCACGGAGTGACCAATTTGCAGCTTTTGAGGAGCAGTGACAAAGGACTCAAAATCTGTGCTGGAACGACAGGAGCTGCCTAGCGTGGGACCCCAGTTCAGGTTGCTCTCTACTTCATAGAGAGACTTTAGAGCTTTTGAGCCAACACACCCCGAGCCTGCCGGCCAGAGAAAGCAACAAGAGCCAGGGCGCCACTTCTGGCGCAGGCCGTCCCATCTCCGTGAGCGACCTGAGAGGCTCTGGGCTCCTAAGCCCCAAGTCAGACGAGCTGGTGAACACAGGCGGCGCAGGCCGTCCATCTCCATGAGTAACCTCAGAGGCACAGGTTCCCAAGCCCTGAGGCAGAGCCAGGGCGCCACTTCTGGCGCAGGCCGTCCCATCTCCATGAGCGACCTGAGAGGCTCTGGGCTCCTAAGCCCCAAGTCAGACGAGCTGGTGAACGCAGGCGGCGCAGGCCGTCCATCTCCATGAGTAACCTCAGAGGCACAGGTTCCCAAGCCCTGAGCCAGATGAGCTGGTGAAGGCTGACGGGCCCAGGCTGTCCCATCTCCATGAGCGACCTGAGAGGCTCCGGGTTCCCAAGCTCCAAGCCAGACAAGCTGGTGAACGCAGGCAATGTGGGACATCCGGCGCAAGCCATCCGTCTCCGTGAGCAACCCGAGAGGCACAGGCTTCCAAGCCCCGAACCTGACAAGCAGGTGAAGGCAGGTGGGGCAGGACTTTCGGCCCAGGCCGCCTGTCTCCATGAGCAACTTGAGAGGCTTTGGACCCCCATGCCACCCGACCAGCCGGTGAAGACAGGTGGGGTGGTATTTCCAGTCCAGGCTAGTTTCTGCTGTCCAGAAGCAGCAGACCCTTCAGGATCCAAGCCAGACATCAGGGTGAAATGAGTGGATGTGAAACTCCAGCCACAATGACAAAACACCAAGGAAAGAAACCAGTAATATGAAAAATCAAGAAAGTACATCACCACAAAAGGAAATTAATAACTTACAAGTTCTAGATCCTATAGAACAGGAAGTCTTTGAAATGACAGACAAGGAATTTAGAGTAACTATTCTAAGGAAACTAAATGAGATACAAGAAAACTCAGTGAAACAACACAATGAAATGAAAAAACATACAGGATCTGAAAGAAGAAATGTACAAAGAAATCAATGCCTTGAAAAAGAATGTAGCTGAGCTTGTGCAGCTGGAGGATTCATTCAATGAAATAAAAAATACAACAGGGAGTTTAACCAGCAGACTTGAACAAGCAGAAGAGACAATTTCTTTTTTTTTTTTTCCTTTTTGTCTTTTTTTTTCGTGTCCGGCAACGGATCACAACCCTCAGTGTCGCGCCCGCACCGGACCGGGACCGGCAACGGGATCGCAACCCTCAGTCCTGCACCCGCACCTCGCTCAGCCAGTGAGCGGGAACCAGTCTGTATGTGGGATCCGAACCCTCGGCAGGAGCGCAGCCGCGCTCCCAAGCGGCGCACTGTAGCAGTGCGCCACCGGGCCGGCCCAGAAGAGACAATTTCTGACCTTGAAGACAGGCTGTTTGAATTATCACAGGCAGACCAGAAAAAAGAAAAAAAGAATCCAAAAAATTGAAGAAAATTTAAGAGAGACAACTGACAACCTTAAGCACTCAAATATCCAAATCATGGGTATTCCAGAAGGGGAGGAGAAAGGAAATGGCACTGAAAACATACTCAGTGAGATAACAGCAGAAAACTTCCCAGGTATAGGAAAAGCCACAGATCCCCAGATTCAGGAAGCCCAAAGATCACCAAACACATTCAACCCAAAAAGGTCCTCTCTAAGACATGTGATAATCACACTGACAAAAATCAAAGACAAAGAGAGAATGTTAAAAGCTGCAAAAGAGAAGTGTCAAGTCACTTATAAGGAAGCCCCACTCAGAATAACAACAGACTTTTCATCAGAAACTCTAAAAGCCAGAAAAGAATGGAATGATATATTCAAAACACTAAAAGACAAAAATTGCCAGCCAAGAATACTTTACCCAGCAAGGCTATCCTTCCAGAATGAAGGACAAATAGTATATTTCACAGACAAAAACTACAGGAGTTCGGGCCGGCCCGTGGCTCACTCAGGAGAGTGTGGTGCTGATAACACCAAGGCCCCGGGTTCGGATCCTATATAGGGATGGCCGGTTCGCTCACTGGTTGAGCGTGGTGATGACAACACCATGTCAAGGGTTAAGATCCCCTTACCGGTCATCTTTTAAAAAAAAAAAAAACTACAGGAGTTCACTACCACACAACCAGCCCTATAAGAAATTCTCCAGGAAGTACTGGGTTTGATACCACAAAAACAACCATCGCTACCATGAATACACAAGAAAGAACAACACCTACCAGCAAAACAAAAATACTAACAAAAGAGAGAAAAAATAGTTTATCTATCACCCCAAGTAACCAACAAATAAAGACAAACAGAAAATTTGAAAGAAAGGAACAAAAGACACTTAAGACATCTAAACAAAAATCAGCATAATGCTAAGAGTAAATCAACACCTCTCAATAATAACTCTGAATGTAAAGGGACTTTCCCTGTTGAAAAGACACAGATTGACTGGATTAAAAAGATGGACCCAACAATATGCTGTCTCCAAGAGACTCACTTGACCTGTAAAGGCACACATAGACTAAGAGTAAAAGGATGGAAAAAGATATATCATGCAAGTAGAAACGTAAAACGAGCTGGGGTAGCTATTCTTATATCAGATAAAATAGACTTTAAAGCAAAAACCAGTGAAAGAGATAAAGATGGCCAATATATAATGATAAAAGTCTCTATTCATCAAGAAGACATAACAGTCATAAATATATACTCACCTAATGTCAGAGCAGCCAGATTTACAAAGCAAACACTATTAGATCTAAAAAAAAGAAATAGACACTAACACCATATTAGTGGGGGACCTGAACACCCCACCCTTATCATTGTACAGATAATCTAGGCAAAAAATCAAGAGAGAAATACAAGGTCTAAACAATACTTCAGACCAATTGGATTTGGCAGATATCTACAGAACATTCCACCCAACAACCTCAGAATATTCATTCTTCTCATCAGCACATGGAACATTCTCCAGCATAAACCACATGTTAGGTCACAAAGCAAGTCTTAACAAATTCAGAAAAATTGGAACTATTCCA